AGAAGCCAGTTTTAAACCAGAGAAGGAAGGAATTTCCTGGCCTCAGCTCAAGCGAAAGAAGCCAGTTTTAAAGCCAGAGAAGCCAGTTTTACACCAGAGAAGGAAGGAATTTCCTGGCCTCGGCTCAAGCCAGAGTAGCCAGTTTTAAAGCCAGAGAAGCCAGTGTTAAACCAGAGAAGGAAGGAATTTCTTCTGCTTGCTTTCCCCCGCTTCTGGAGTAAAACAACTATTTTCAAAGCAAAGACCACCTAATGAAACAGTTTCACTTTCAAACAATTAACGAAAGGATTCAGAAGTCTTGGAAGTTTTGAAAAGTTTTTTAAAAAATGTGAAAATCCGAATTGACTTTAGAATCGAACCACCAGTGCCCTCTACATCCTAAACGAGTTTTGAGCCCCCCCCTTTTTTTTGGCTCATCCAATCCTAGTAGAAATTTTTGAAAAGTGTAAGTAGGACTGGACACTAGAGGGTGCCAAGTTGACTGAGAAAAACAGTATGCAGAGTAAAGCCATTGAATTAGTTATCCAATTGCTATTGAAAGAGCAAAGCCAGGATCCAAAGTGTGGTCCATGGCTATATATATAATTAATAGGCCTGTTTGATCAAGAAAAAAATTGTTTCTAAAATCGATTTGTAATTGGGGTGTTTTTTTGTTTCGATATTTAAAATAATTACAAAACTTTCAAAAAAAAAGTTTTGGTATTTAAGAAATTTTGTAAATATTAACGAATTTTTAGAATATTTTTGGTATTTCTTAAGAATAATATTAAAATAATATTAAAAAATATTTTAAAATGGAAAATTAACCAAAAAATGGCCCAAATGTGGACCAAACACAGGCACGATACAGCAAATGAGAGCACACACCAACAGAAGAGTCTTTTCTTTTTTAGAATATTTTTTAAGAATAATATTAAAAAATAATATTAAAAATGAATTTAAAAAATATTTTAAAATGGAAAATTAACCAAAAAATGACCAAACACAGGCAGGATACAGCAAATGAGAGC